TCACCCCCCGGCGAAATTCTAACCCCCTTGGCTTTGAGCTTCTTCTGAATCCTTGATAAGGGCCCCAAACGGCGAAGTCAGTATACGGTGGCCTCCCCATGCTGAAAAGCTCGTGAAGCGAAGTAACTTGCTCAATGGACAGCTCCTCGTCAGCAGGTGGGAAAGCTCCCACCTTCTTCTTGTACTGCCCGTACATGGCAGATAGCTTGGCGCCGTCCAAGACATCGACTTCGTTATCATCGGCCTGATTAATGACTGTCGCCATCTGGATCTTGCGTTTTGCAGATGATGGGGCAGCAGGGGTTGTTCCGGCAGCTAAATTAGTGGCAGCTTGCGATGTAATGGACTGTGTGGTACCTGCGACGAGCCGGCATGTCCTACCAAACAATCCACCTTGACAGTGCTGTGCAAAAGTCGGCTCGACAGAAGCATCGGCCCCCAACCGCCAGCGTCTTGACATAATCAGTTTTTGTAGATATGCCAACAACACGTAGATGTTCTGAGCCATCTAGGCCTAACAGAGCAAAGAGGGATCCGCGGGCAGTTGCTTTATTGCCAGGAGTAACGCCCAACCCGCACCACGTAGCAACGTGGCCAACATTACGGAACCCTTGAAGCTCAGTGTCACTCGGATCAAGTGCCATAAACCTGAAGGTTCAGCGATGTCCACATGCCCGGACCTATCAAAATTTCTGATGGCCTTTTGGGCACTTGAGCCAAAATGGCTTACAGTACACGACGTGCTTGCAGCGCTGTTCTCGCTCACATAAATGTCCGCTATCACACGGTAAGATGAAAGCACGGGGCGGCTGGAGCGGTTTAAAGCAAAGCAGCTGCGATAATGTTGGTTTTGCGGTCAGACCATTCCGGACTGAATCCAAATCCTGGACCCACCGCCCCAAACCCCACGGCGCCTCTGGGGAAGGCCGGAGCGGCCCGGGTTCGCCGGGCCCTGGGCTGGGCCCAAATGCGAGGAGGTTCGAGGGTTAAAGGATGTTAAAGGGTTCATAACTTAATAGGGTCATGAAGAAAGGTAGCCATAGTTACACTTACTTATGACACCAACGTAGGCTCTTATGACCCTATCTTTCAAGCAGGCCCGGGGCTTCGACTTTCGGGTCCTTCGGGTATATTGGGGGACCCAATATGAATTCGGGAAGCAAGGCCAGCCTTCACGCAAAAGGAGGAGGCCTGAAAAGGCACCCCCTAGATCTTCTGAAAGTCTCTGCTCCCAGATGCTCCCAGAAGGCTCTGGGGCCCTGGGGCCTTTACGGCCTTGGGATGCAGGTGCCCCTGAGCTTTGAACCTCACATCTTTCGGGTCTTCTGCTTCCCAGCAAGCTCAGGTCTCAGAGTAGTTTCGGAATGCTGCAAGCCAAGGTCTCCTCAACATGACTTGTAGATGGGGACACTGAAGCAGTTCATCAAAAGTTTTTAGGATCCCATCCCATCTTCAGGTTGCCTCCTCAGTGCTTCGTGCTCAGCTTTGTCGCAGAGGGTCACAGCAAGCTTCTTTGGTACCTTGGCACACATTGCATGAGAATCTACTCATCAGGCGATGTGCACGAGTGGCTCCCAACGTGGACTCCACCATATTTTAAACGGCATCGTTGCACCGGTCCCGCGATGTCTACATCTCAGCCCCCCCTCCCTCCCTGCGTGCTCCAAGGGCGGATCACACCAGGAGTCGCCCGGTTTATGCTTTCACATTGCAGCCCTGCGGCGGGTTTTGGGGGTGCCCCAAGGTGTCTCTTGTCCGGCACCCCTCTTGAGCCGACACGAATGCAAGGGAGAGGCCCGTGCGAGTGCAATCCAGGACTTCGGGCTTGGAGGCCGTTTGACTGGGCTGTGGGGCAGAGCTGCGACGACCTGCAAAAGCCAAGAAGAGTGCCTGCATGCTGGCCATGGCGCTCGCGGACCGCGGGGCGCCCTCCGCTTCTCCAGAGCCCGAGCCACGATGTGAACCGCTTGGGCTATCTGGCCTTGCACCCAGACCTTCTTCCCTACAGAATGGATTGGCCCCATGCAAAAAATGGGCCCCCACGAAGGTTTGACGAGCCCCGGACTAAGCGAAAACAGCCAAAACCACCCAGAAACCCAGCAGACGATTTTGTCGGATGACGATAGGCTCCTCCGAAGCATTGCCTGGCTGTGGAAAAGTTGGCTATGTGTCGGGTTCATAGCATATGGGACGGCACAAGGGTGGGTGGTGGGGGGTCTATTGCCTTCAGCTTCGCAGGGTTCGGAGATGCCAGGGCCTCGTCAGGCCCGGGAGAGGGAACCACTCTGCAAAAGTGCCACATTTGCGGCTGCACTCAAAAAAGTTCGACGAGCAGCACTGGAGATCACGATTCGTCAATCTGCCAGGAACGTGGTCTTTGACATCCCATGGAGATGAGCCCTAATTTCGACGAATCGTGAGCACAGGTTCGTCGATCAATCTGATGGACTGTTCAAAAGAAGTCGAGGGCAGCGGTAGAAGCAGAGATGCACAGCCGCACGACTGAGCTGCTTGTTGCAAGGGGTTGTGTGCCTCCACCGTACAACCAACCGCTGGGGTTTGAAGAAGGATGCACTGGCATACCTCATCTGATTGAAGGTTTGGGACAGTCGATCCCAAGCTTCTGCACAATTCTGCTCTACGGCGGCGAGCCTGTTGAAACGAATTTGCACTGCTCGCGGTCCACAGCTGTCACAAAAAGAGCCAGGACGGGGCGGCTCAGGACAGTGTGGTGCATGGCTGACCATGCACCGTCAGCGCCGCAGTGCTTGGCGGTTGATCTGAATCAGGCTACGCTGCCTGATGCAGGTTTAATAGTCGTAATAGTAGTAGTCATAGGTAGAACTATCAAGACCATAATCATAACTATACTAGATACTACGTTGTGGTTGCAATGGTAAATATGTAAAAGCTCCACATTTGGAACAACCGTCGGCGATAGCGCCTTCTCTTGGAGAGGGCACGGCTCATCTCTTTCATAAAACCTTCAGGTTCGCCTGACAGATTCTGAACCAAACTTTGGGCATACTTTCTTCAGGCAGCTATACTGCTTGAAGCGGAGAGGCCCGAACGAGCCGAAGAAACACCACACATCACAAGCATCGCAGTTTATCATAGTGGCTGTCGGAGTATAGTGCCTTCTAGTAGAAACTGCGATAGTAATGGGCTAGAAAGGTTGAGGTCATTGTCGGAACCGGCCCATCAGAATCATTACGTTACTCTGAATCCTGCGCATTATCCATTTATAGTACATGTCACACTGGTGATGTTGACGGCCTGGTCACTCGAGCAAGGCCACCGCCGGGGGCGTCGAGCAGTAGTTCTGAACGACTCGGTCGAAGGTCCACGATGGATGCTGCATGCCTCAGCTCCAGGGATCTCGAGGGCTTAGCGCTTCGGGTTTATTCTCGGAGGGTTCGAGTTTACCCTCCTTTGACATCAAATCCTGCACCCCTAGATCCTGAATTAAGAAGGGTCCTTCCTTGCCCTCCAGGTCAATCTTGAAGGAATCAAAGTCGAGACTTAGGGCTGAGGCTGTAAAGCGCTCTGATATCTTGCAGTGATAAGGGCCCTGCAGTTGCGGGCTTTGTTGCTCCAGGCGGAGGTCTCAAAGGATGGGAATTGTACTGGATCTCTTTAGGATGGGAGCTGTAGTAACTGTAGTTGGATCATGTCGACAAGGAGACGCTAACCTCGGCTCAATGCATTCAAGGCAAGGCGCTTTCGTCACAGAAAGTCTTCACAACATCGTCCACGCTCAGCTTGTGCACATCTTTCCCGCTCTCAGCGCACAAGCGCTGGTATCCTTTGGAAGCGAGGCCTTCATCCAAAGATGCCATTTTCATCAAGAGCGTCCAGGAATGCTTGTCCACCTGGCAGCCGAACCAGGGACTGCTCGGCAGCCGAGTTCCGCTTCAGGCTTCCAAGCTTACTCGTGATGGAGCGCGGGCTGCCGTCAAGACACAAAACGACTACTTTGTGGCTCCTTTCAAAACAGCCTCGGGTGCTAGACGCCATGCCTATGCTTCTGCATCCACTGAGAGTCCAAGGCACGAAGTGCACCTTGCAGCTCAAAGCCCAAGACTCCACCTGAACATCGCACGATCTCATGTCAGGAATTCTGAGGAGCTTTTGGTTCCCTCTTGCAACGCACACAGTTTAGGTGTCGATTTAAGGGTTTAAGACAAGAACACACCTCAAGTTCAAGGCTGGTTGCAAAGTGGGACTTGGTTGTTGGAGTTCCAGAAGAGCTTCCATTTAAAAAGGACCACAGAACACCGCAACCATGACAGCCGGCTCATGGAAAACCGTGGTTGGCACGAGGAAAGGACCTACACTGAACCACAGCTGGCGCTGGTAGTTGATGTTGACATGTAGTACACCTAGGCCCTAAACTACCCCCACTACTTGGAACCCGTATTGCCACTGCTACGGCGACCACAGCATACACTGGTCGATGATTCCTACTTCTATCAGTATCTATTCTCGTATTGGCACTAGAGCTGGTAACAGCCACAGCGCGACTGTGATGCTTGCTCGTTTCCATGCGACGAGCTTGCAGCACTCTCTTGGATATCATGGCTTTGGGAGCCGTAGCCGGGATCTGGGACAGGGACGGCTTTAGACGCGAAGTGGTGAATGACACCGTGTTGGAATAAGGTAAAGTCGACCTCGGTAGGGCAACCTTCTGCTGGCCTTGTCCTGAGTTTCGGCGAATGGTGCCAGAAGCAGGACGTCCAGCACCTGCGCATGCGATCCAATCGTTCATTGGACCGCACTGAACGGCAGGCAGTGGCTTCCATGATCTCCTACATCGGTGTCCATGAACATGCTGCCCGGGCCTCTACTTGGAAAAAGACGGCCCACATCGTCTCTGCGAAGGAGCTGAACACCTCTGGCAGGATTCGGTCGCACATGCATGGGCACGAGCAAACAGGAGCAGGCCCGCCTCAGGACCCAGAATCTCTCGAAATGTCATCGTCGCAGCGTGCCTGGGCACCCCAGTGTAAGCACGCCTGTGCCTGACGCCTTTCGGGGCATGTTGGGGACTACTGGCAGTGGGACCGAATCCTCCTGAAAAGACCTCAAGGAGACGAGAAGACGTTTCACAAGCAGCTAACAGCTAACAGCTCCAGCTCAAATTGCCAGGGGACTGAAACGTGAGCATGTGCCTTGGAAAAACACCACGATCCCAGTGGATGGTTGCCACTTGCCGAAGCCGCTTCCGGGCATCGAGCATTTCGCCTGCGTACAGCTTCTCCTGCAGTGCAGCGCTGCATTGCAATCGACGGCTCACAGTTCGAAAGGCCATTACAGGTTCGTGCATTGCATGAAGCATCTGTCTCTGTCGCCCTAGGACTCTAGGATTTCGACAGTTCTGTGATTCGTGCAAGGCAGCGCACACGATTCTTACCACATGGCTACAGCTCGTGAAGTCCGAGCGGCGGCGGTGTCTTGAATAAAGGAGACCAAGATCCCCATGTGGCTCAACTCATGAGCTGGATCCCTGAAGACGGAGTTGCTCCAGTTGTGCTCGCCTCCCGGCACGTTGTTCAAGTTTGCTGCCAAGCTGGGCAGGAAGCTCTTGTGGCTGGTTGCCTGCTGCAGCAAGTCCCGGACCGTCCCAGTGACGACCCTCTTCTCGGTCTCCTCTGTGGTCAGGAGCCCTTGTGTGAAGGGGATGGCGATAAAGTGAAGCCAGACCACCGACCAGGCCATCTCCGCTTCTGGCAGCAGACCCTTGAGCCGGTTGGACAGCGCCCTCAACCTGCGCCCCGCGAAGCAAAACGCGTATACAGACGGACACGAACGGAACAAAGATTGGGTTTGGTCTGGGCGCTCGTGGGCACCGTGTGTAGGGGGGGGCGGGGGGTGGCTCAGGGGAAGTCTTCAAGCCGAGCGGCAAGGCCAACTGGAAGACGCAGAGGTGGCTGGGGTGGACCCCATAACCGACGTGCCGCATGCCCAGGGAGGTCATGTCTCTTTCGACCCGTCGAAAGTCCTTCTCTTCAAGCCATCCGAGGCCAACTTGCACAAAGGAAGCGAAGAGCAACGACTGCGTTCGAAAGCTGGCACTTCGGAAGAGACGCTCCACTCCCGGATCCTGCATGAGGTAGTGGTAGAGCAGTTGGCCAAACTCGTTCATCCGAATCTTACGCCACTGGCTCAGGACCAAGCCCAGCATGGAGTCGAGAGAAGCGTAACCTGACACGTTGCAGAAGGCCTCCTGGCAGAACTTGGCCAGAAGCGAGACATGAGAAGCATCTGGGGCTTCCGTGAAGACGTCCTTCAAACAGCGCCGAAAGTTCTGCAAACTGACACGCCCGCTCTGCTGAATGTCAAGGGCATTGAAGCCAGCAAATATGTGGCTGTCTGACACACCCATCTCTTGCAAGGCCCGGCGGAAGTCTGAGTAGAATATGCAGGAGGGGTCCGTCGCAGCCAGTTTGGCGAAAGAGGTGTCTAGCTGATCCAAGCAGTACTCATAGTGACATCGAAGAAACATGAAATCGTTCTTCTGCAAAATCACGCTCACCGCTGCCTTAGTCAAGAGGACGGCCATCGTCCCGTAAGCACTGATGAACTGACTTTTCGGAGTCATTTCCGCAAAGAAAAGGATCTGCACCTTGGTGTCCGGATCCCAGTTCGGGAGGTCTGGTAGGAAGAGCGGTGCAGCTGAGAGGACGGAACAGTAGACGAGGCAGGCTGCGATGAAGACCTTCTGGGTTGTCTTCGGTACATCCGCCGCCTCGGCCAAGATTATAAGGGCTGACAGCTCCAACATCACCACAAGGTCCAAGACGTCCTCTGTGAGGTGGGCAGGGTCCTGGTGAAGGGCGTAGCGCGACACCATCCGCGCAGCCCAGCCACGTACGGCGCAGGCGATGATCGCCTGGGTCGAAGGCTTCGAACACACACCCCTTGGAACATATTCAATAGTGAGTCATGACGAGGACCGTAGTCCAATTGCACAGCAAACCGAACTGCCAAAGGAGCTAAGCTGAAGCTCCAATCCAAGATCCCTGAGTTTCATTGAAGTGAGACCTCGAGAGCCTGCAAGAAGGATGAAGAACAAGAGTTTACCAAGTTTGCGGGAATATGATTCCCGTCAAACCTAGATGAGACCTGAGAAGGCATTTTCATTTGTGTATACTTGTATATAATGTATATATCTATATATATATATGCATGAAAATATCCATATACATATATGCCTTTATAATACAGATACGCGAATGAACTTGTAAGGCCGTATGCATACGTGTGTATACAATATGTACGTATATATATATATATATATATATATGTATGTATGTAAATATCCATATATATATTTACATTTATAATATACACACATGTGTATGAACTTGTAGGGCCGTATGCATGCGTGTGTATACAATGTATATATACATATGTATATATATATATACATATGTATGTATGTCTGTCTGTCTGTATGTATGTATATGTGTATTTTTCTATGTGTATATATATATATATATAGTTGTGTAGGTATGCACATATGTATGTATGTATGCATGTATGTATGTATGCATGTATGTATGTATGTATGTATGCATGCATGTAGCATATCTTATACTGCCTCGTTTCTTGTAGCATAGGGCAGCTTTAGACTCAAGTGTGTCATCTTGGTTCGCTTGCTTTGTAATTATTCCGTTTGGGCATGACATCGCGCTATCTCATATTACATCTTACTACCTTGTATTGCATGTTGATACGTGAAACTATACTAGACTGACTATACCAGTGTTCAACTGTACTACATAGTCTATATTACGTTCACAAACATTACATTTGCAGACTTCTGCATATGTTACAGTAATTTACATGTTGCTGCACTGTGCAACACTACAAATCAATTGAAATATGTTGCATGATTCTTGCACATCGTTCATGTTACGGTATCTTACGCTATACGACACTAGATTCCAATATTGTAAATTGTATTGCAACTATTTTGCGTTAAATAACTTTGTACTACATTACATTACAACGCAATACAAATATTACATCATTGTACTGAGTTATATTACACTATATTACACTGTACTACAGTATAGTACATGATATTACAGTATATTGAATTGTGTTACACTGTATTACATTTAACTTTATTGACAGTATTACATGATATGTAAATGTCTGCTCCATTCTATACTAATCGTTTTACTACATGGTATTGCATTAGATGGTTACGTTGAATCCTGGTATTGCATTATAACGACCTATTCTGCATTACACTGCACTATGCTGCGAAATGATGCTTCAATATAATGCTTATCCTACACTGTATCGCATTATACTACATCCTACTACATGATATTGCATTATGATACATTGTACTACACCAAACCAGGTGTCGCAGTCTCCTAACTTCGCTGTGCAATTGCTTTCTTTAGCCTATTGTCTTCTTATACCATATTCCTTCTATGTTACCATTGTAAGACTTGCTGCACCCCACCAAAATATATATGTGTGTGTGCAACACAGAAAACAACACATATAAATACAGAACAGTATCCCACCGTTGAATCAGAGGCACCCAAGGATCGAAGGTGCGAAGCGTCATCCAAAGCAGCTGGGTATGAACCCTTGTGAGCATAGCCAGTGTGGACAGCCCCCAGCACACCGCCGTAAGGGCGATCATGGTCCAGGAGAGGTGCGTCGGAAAAGACACCACAACAGCTCCTGAATTTCCTGCAACCTCCCCAAGCTCGGAGAAGCCACCAAGAAATGATGTGGTGTGGAGAACCATTCCAACCATGACCAGAAGCATCAATGGCCACTTCTTCTTCATCAGCCACCGACCTATCGCTAAGTTCGAAATCATCCTTCCAGACAGAATATACGCCCTGGCTACTGGCTTCACCACCATGATTCGACCCTTTTTGAAGTCATTGGTGGCACCTTGCCGGGTAATTTCAGTACCCGCCGGCAGTATAGAGGCCAACTTGGCTTTCTTCGACGTGGAGGCTACGCTGAAGACTCTCGCTTTCATCATAGTGGGCGACACATTGCAAGCATTCTACATCCTACATGTGAGACAGTCTGCCGTCCACATCGCCGTAGGCTTGATCACTAACGCTCCCGCAGACGACGAGGGAACACACGTGGGGTTGCCAGCGAGCGACGAGCGACGGAGGAATGGGGGGAGCGAGGGAGAGAGAGGGAGGGAGACAGGGAGAGAAGAACAGGGGAAAGACAGAGAGAGAAGAGAGATAGATGCAACGACACAGAGACACGGCCAAACACACGGCAGGGCCGCTGCAGGCGGAGAAACTGCCATGGAGCAACAAATCAAAAATCTCTGGGAACCACGACGAGATAGCAAAAGACGGAGCGGGCGAAAGTAGCAGGAGAGGTATCATCAACGACGACCATGGTCGTGTGTACGAGCATGTTTCTTGCCACTCTTGGCCGAGTTGGAGAACTAGGTGAACTGGCGAAGCTGAGAAACCTGTGTTCGGTTTCGCACGCGATGCCCTAAGCAGGCTAAGCAGAGTACAGAACGTAGGGTGGACACCATCCTTGGTCCCTCCCTGCCGGGTTTGAACATACCACGCGGCAATCTCAGTACTGCGAATGCAGAGAACCGCCAGCATACCTTTTTCGATAACGCTCCTGGCAAGACATCAGGTGCCAGTAGCACTCAGGCTGCAATCGCACGACATCGCTCGCCTTACAGCCCAAATATACCGCTCTAATTACCAATACAAGGTTTGGGGTTCCTCGTTTCAGTTATTAAGGCTCCCCCTTAAGCAAATAGCGCAGGCCCTGCAGCTCTGAAGCAAGGAGATGTCCTCGAGCCTGCCGAGGCCGAATCGTTGAGCCACCTGCAAAGAAGTAGTAGTACTACTACTACTAC